TTTTGTTTTTAAAAATCGTCAAGATGTTTTTTGCAGAATATATGATTTCCAAATGTTAAAAACAATTAATAAATATAATTTAATCCAATGACCGAACAAGAAACAGTTCGTTCTATTGTGCCAGCATGCATTGAAATCTTCTGCACGTGGAATTAGACGTTCAGTTTGTCGTCACCAATCCTGATGTCATCAGGCTGATGATGAGGCACCACAGCGGCGGGTGCCGTGTGGTGCTACGTTTGCTGAAAATATAAGTTTTTCATGGAAGGCCAAAACGTTGCTTTTTCGCTGCTGATATGACACCATACAACACAAGACATGATTTTTGCTTCAGTGCTAGTAGAATTCTCATAAGTTTAGCTGTTTTTATAGTTATACCTTGACCTCGTATGTAAATATTTTATTTATTGTATTCTTTAAATTTATATTCATAATAAATAACCTATTTCAGAATTCAGAACTCAGATGTCTCAATAATTAAAGATTTATTGGAAAATCCATTTTCGAGACGAGACGTTACTACAAAAAACGAAATAGTTAAATTAAGTAGATCGATGCCGGATATTATTCTATCACAAAACATTAAGATTAAAGGACAACAGTATGTACGACATTTTCAAAAATCTATGTATGAAAAATTTAAATGGTTAACCGGTTGTAGTGAATTGAATAAGTTGTACTGTTGGCCATGTTTACTTTTTGTTGTAATTGAAAAGGACAAGAATATTTGGACAAAACAAGGCTACAGTGATTTAAATCATCTCCACGAAGCTGCAAAGAAACATGAAAAAACACAATCTCGCATAAATGCCGTAATACTATGAAAAACATTTGGTACTGTCAGGATAGATTTAATGTTAGATCAACAAAAGGCTTCATCGATTGTTCAACACAATGAAAGTTACAAGAAACAGAAATATTCTCAAGAGATTAATAGATGTAGTTTCGTACTTAGCAAAACAAGAAGATGAATTTTGGGGACACAATGAGAATATAAATTCCCTTAATTGAAGAAATTATATAGAATTAATAATTTTAATTAGTAAATATGATAACCTTTTATCAACCCATCTGAGAACTGCAACTGTATTTTCTGGAACCTCTAATAGATAAAAATTATATTATTGCACCGATAAAAATATTGTAATTTCAGAAATTAGAAATGAGGTAAAACAAAAGCCATTCGTTGCTATTATGCTGGATGAAACATCTGACATATCTCACAAATCGCAATTATCGGTTGTGCTACGATATGTTAATAATTGTAGTGCACCAGTGGAAAGATTTTTGTTTTTAAGATGTTAGTGGTGATCGTTCAGCAGAAGCTTTGTGAAATGTTTTGCAAGAAACGATTTTGAGTTGGGGGTGTGAGAATAAACTGATTGCTCAAACGTATGATGGGGGGGGGCAGTCATGGCAGGATCGTTGAATGGGACGCAGAAAAAAGTAAAAGACGTTTTCCCAGAAGCTATGTTTGTGCATTGTTGCGCACATGTACTTAATTTAGTTCTGTTGTAATCTGTATTGTTTATAAAAGATTGTAAATTAATTTTTGCAACAATTTCTGGCGTAGCCTCATTTTTTTGGTGTCTCAAGAAATCATGTTGTAAATGAAATTATTAAAAGATAATTTCCAAAATTAGCTACAACACGTTGAACTATTCATCTTGTTTGGTAAATACCATAAAAAGCGAAACTCAAGGCCTATCTGATTTATTTGAAAATATTATTGAGAATCCAGAAGGCTGGGATAACGATACAATTAATATTGCAAAGAGTTATCACGTGTTTTTTCAAGAATTTAACGGTAATTTTCTCCTAAATATTTTTGCCATAGTGTTTAGTTATACTGATGTTCTATTTGATATTTTACAAAAAACTAACTTAGATGTAGTATATTCTAGTCAAAAAGTAGAGAAAGTAAAAGATGCAATTCAAAATATGCTAACTTCTGTTGCATTTGATGAAGTTTATGAAGAGACTGTTTCTGTAGTGGGTCCCCCAAATTTAAAGAAAAAACATTGTGTAAATTTACAAAACTCAAATGTAGACCAAGACCAACATTTTAAAAACTTATATTATGAAATAATGGACACTATTTAATGTCAGTTAAATGTCTATTTTAAAAAATTAAATTTGCTCAAATTTTTTGAACTATTAAATTTCAGTTTTTTTAAGAAATATCAAAGTAAATTTCCGGATGAATTCATTAAAGAACGTTTATGCAAAACATTTCAATTTTGTAAAGCTAACCAATGAATTATGCGCTCTTTATCATAGCGAGTCATACCATGAAATGAATTTATCGAAACTTAATCAGCATATAAAGCTGAATGATTTGACAGATGCCCTAAGTAAAGTAAATAAATTGGCATTTTTAATTTGTACAATTCCGTTTTCAACTGCTTCGTTGAAGAGATCATTTTCAGCATTGATGAAAAGAGTAAAAAATTATGCACGCAATTACAATGAGCCAGGATAGATTAAGCGATTTATCTCTAATAACACTAGAAAAAGAAATGTTACACTTATTACAGTCAAAACCAGAGTTTTATGATCATGTAATTGATGATTTTGTTAGTAATACGGATAGACATATGGATTTTGTGTACAAATAAATAATAAAAAGTTAAAGAAGTGTTTAATGTACATTTTTATGGTTTTATTATTATTATTATTATTATTATTATTGTTCTCTGCACATCCTGCATGAAAACCTACCGCACGCCACTGCTATAAACATTATTTTGTTGACTATTTTTTCCATGTCACAAAAAGTCCAGGGCTAAGATGTTAATGCTTGGTCCTTGTATGCCTAGCAGGACAGTTTAAATGGTTATATTGGTGTGATTGTGGCTTTACAGCAAAACATTATATTTAGCTTTTAAACTCATTATGTTCCCTGATCAAAGCAAACATCTGACTCCACGCAAAATTATTGTCTTATAGTGTCTCATTTGAAATTATTAGAGTACATATTTTTCCATGATAGTTTTATTTTAATTTTATTTTTGAAGTACAGAATTTCAGAATTTCTGAAACTTATGAACTTTATGTATGATTATATGGCAAACAGAAAGGGAAGTTATAATAGTAAAATTTTAAAAAATTGTGATCTTCATTACTGCTGTAGAATTTTTTGCTGTTAAAAAATTAAATTCTTCCTGTCATTTGATCTGATTTCATTTACTCAAATGTAAGGTACTTGAATGATTTGTCCATAAAATGATTGTAAAATTTGTTGATTTACAGTTTACTTTCTACAAAATATAGTCACAATTTATAAAATTAAATTAATTATTTAAATCATAACTATGTTTTGTAAAATGTAGCTTTGAATTATATGTGTGTGTTTAACAAACACATAGCTTTTATTATGGTTGCAGAGGAAGGTAACTGATGATGTGATTACTCTGAATAATGATCGGTAAAATATTATTACTGCATGACAAATGCATAGTGATATCAGTGTGATTTATCAATTGAACGTCAATAATGGAAAAGTCATTAACATTGTTTGATAACAGTTTTTATTTTGGGATATTTCATTTGGATGACTTATAAATTCCAAAATTTAGTATACACATATGTTTTGAATAAGATTTGTACTTGAGAATCTTTTTTCATTGAAATAAACTCTTCCTGCATCATTGTACTGAGATTAAAATATATCGTAGTTCAGTGATTTTGTGAACAATGTTGACACAATTTTTTTTTTTTTTTTTTTTTTTTTTTTTTTTTTTTTTTTTGTCTTGTGGAAATGAGCATTAAAATCTTTTTTGCAAGTGGCTTGTATGCAACAATATATCTTCTGAGAAAGTTTTGTATTCTTCATATTCATTTATTTTGTTTTCTTGTGTTCTGCATTTTACTTTTTTTATATGCACTTTTTTTGCACAAAAAAAAATTGTGTATATAAGGTATATCTCCCGAGTTTCTGGTGTAGTGGTTCTAAACACTAGGCCGGTAATCTAGAGGTCCGTGATTTGATTCCCGACGAAGGCGTTTGCTAATCTTTCATCTCTCTTGCTTAAAAAAAATCCTTATGTCTCTACATTATTTTTAAAAAGTATTCTTTTAAATATATATTAAATAATTTATGTGTATTTTTCTCATATTTTTACTTTGGTTTCTTCTTTACTTCACGATATATGTGTATAATTATTAGTTTTACAGTATTAATAATTTTTTGTAGTCAGTGGAGTCTTCAATTATGCCCAGTTACCCATGCGTATTCGGCTGTCTTTTCCCCCCCTTTTTTTTGGGCCCTGACCACTCATCGTTGACCCCCTTTATAATGTCATTGTCCCCATTAGGAACTCCTGGTCTAAATTCTGTGCATCCTCAAGAATTGTTAGAATAACTGAAAATTTTTATCATAAGATCTATTTTGAATACTTTTTTATGTCATTACACACCATGATTTTTCAAATACTTTGGAAATTCTATGTGTTTTCTATTTCATTATTAAGCAATGGTTTTGGAAATTCATGTAAATATTCTGCAATCTAATATCACCTTGTTTTTGTAGAAAGAAACAGAGTTGTTTCGAATTTTATGTGTATGAATCACTTGTTTTTTAACGATAATTAACTACATTTGATGGTTTTGATCTGTGCTTTGATTCCTTGATAATATATGCAGTGTGTTAAAATATAGGGAGGAAGTTTAACAAAACTAAGGTATGTTAAAGAGATTACGTGATAATGGTATCTGAAAATTGTTAACGACCTGTATTGACATTTGAAATTTTTTTCATGAAGGCATAAAAAGTTGCTGTAATTCAATTTATAGAAAAACGTTATTCCTCTGTATTTTTATACATTGTCTGAGTTAGGTATAATGTAAATGGTTGCAGTTTTTAAAATAGTATACAAAATTCTTCCCTTTCCGTTTTAATTTACTTTTTAAAAAATTATTTGAAAAAGATGAAAAAATGAAATTATTTGTTACGAGTTTTCTTCAGCCAGTGATTATCTAGCGCTTTGTGTGATTTACAGGATCACTGTGGCGCTACATTAGATCGAGTATGTCCCTGTCTGGTTATATGCCACCCATGTGCGACCCACTGGATGGGCACTTACTCCTTGATGGAGGTTACGTCAATAATCTTCCAGGTTAGTGTAGTGTTACTGATTATGTGTTATGTTTTATTTTCTCTTGCTGTATGCTGATTAGGCTGCTTATGGCGGTACGTTCGAGCCAGCATGACAGTGACTGGATTGTTACCACCACTGTGTGATCCTGTAGATGGCAGTCTTCTTGTAGATGGATGCTATCTGAATAACTTGCCAGGTATATATGGTACATTCTATTTAAATGTGATGCGTAAAGTAACTATTTTTTGTTTAAATTTATTATTATATCTTTTGTATTTGAATACTTTAATCCTGCAATCAAGGCAATGTTGTGTATTAATTTTGTTACTGTATCAATCTACACTATGACAAATGAACCTTTTGTTCGCACCAATTTCCTATACACCTAATGTTATTTTATGCTGCCATAGCAAACTTCCAGAGGTATAAAAATTGGATGTAATGAACTATTGGGTTGAAACATAAATAATGATTGTTTATGTTGTGTTTAAAATTACGCAGTAAAAATAAAATGTATTGGCATAATGTTTTGTGTTATTCGAAAGAGAATCTTTTCCTCTACGAGATGACATATTAGGTTTTTTTTTTTCCGTCTGAGCTAACTTTTGTTATTTTTCAGATCATTAAAATGGAGTGTCAAGTCAACAAAAATAAGCATTTTTGACACCCACCTTCTTTTTGCGTTTAATCGAGACACCAATGCTGCAGAAGCTGCCCGAGAGATTTTTGAAGTGTATGGGGAAAGTGCAATAAATACACTTGAACAAACTGCAAGAAATTCGTTTTCCAAATTCAAAAATGGAAATTTTGACCCCAGAGATGCTGTTCGTTCTGGATGACCAAATGAGTTTGATAAAGAGTGTTTGAATCAACTTCTGCATGAAGACATGCGTCAAACCACCCGAGAATTAGCTGAACAAATGGGTTGTAGCCAAATGACTATAGTTCATCATCTTAGGTCTATGGGAAAATCCAAAAACTCGAATATTATTGACTAATTTATTGTTTTTTTGTTTTGTTAAAATAAAAAATTTTAAATTTAAAGTAGGCCATTACTTATGTTTCAACCCACTAGGTGCAATCTTTGTTTGAAATTTTTTTAAAATATTTTTTCCAGAATTTTTGCAAGATTTAACAAAATAATACTAACCTCTAAAACGAACCATGTTTAGAATGTAAGGATTCACATTGCATCTTTAAAGTAAAACACCTTTACCCCTCTTTTTTTCTGTGTTCTAAACAAAGATTGTGTGAAACAAGTGTGACACTCAATCTAAGTGAATGAGAGCACAGTAAAATCATATGTCAGTACATGGTGTTCTTTGGTATATTACCTTTTACATGCCGCACTATGATTCAGGAATAAAATAGACAACTAATTCCTCAAATTCACATTAGAATACGCACATAAAGACTATAAAACAAAAAAATTACCGTAAAAAAATTTTTCCTATAATTTCTTGGATGTTCCAGTTTTGGAACATTGGCATGTAAAGCTGTCTTTTCTCTCTCTCTCTCTTTTTTTTTTTTTTTTTGCTTGATGAAACAAAGCATTATATTATGAATCTTTATAATGGTTTACTGAACAGTTTAATATGAAATTACTAAAATTTAAGTAAAACTCATTAAGAAGAATTACATAATTTTTAATGTGTAATATTTTATTGGAAATGCAATGCAAAAAAATATAAAGAAACAAAAACAATTTTACACTTACACCAGCTTCATTAACAATATACATAATATGAATAAATGCGATTTTAAAAATCTAAAATACCTTACCAATAAAAAATAAAATATTTTATCCTTTAAAAGGTGCGTGGGTTTTCAACAAGTAGCACAAAAAATATAAAGCATTCTAGAACACTAATTATTTGTAATCCTTTTTAGCAGTTTTTCAGTGTCCATGATATTGCGGGAAGCAGTGTGAGCTTTTTTCTTTTCTTTCATAACATTCTTTCTTCGTTTTGCACGTAGATGCACCCCTCTGAGAATCCATTAAACTACTCACAAGAATCTTTGTTGCAAATAGGAGGTGATTTCTTAAAGGGAGAAAACATTCGGTTCAAGATTCCCCGTCCTTTGGTAGCTTTTACTGCTACCAAAGCCCCGTCCTCAAAAGGTTAAAACCAAAGCAAATTGGTTTTCCACATATGAACATCTTAGCAGAATGATGCCCATAATATGGAAGCATTTATTCATCAATACTCAGATTTTCATGGAAAAATCCAAATTGACAAAAATTATATCCTATCTCTTCATAAAAGTGAGAGATTTTACGTAATTTATCACCTGATTCCAATTTACTGTTATCAACAATATGAAAACGCATTTTTAACGTCCGAAATTTATTTTTGGGTATTGTAGTGCTAACATTTGGGATATGCAAATTTTCCTGAGAGCTCAAATATGAATTTTCATCAGCTACTGGATTGTAGCCACTGAAGAACAGCAATCCAAGAAACTGCTGAATGTCATTGGCGTTGACATCCAAAGAGTCTCCTTTTTGTAAGTTCTGCCAAGTTTTCTAAGTAATCAGACAGCAGAAATTTATAAAAAAATATCAGTTGGATTAAAATTAAAGAATTCAGGAAAAGTTTCAGTAATGTTATCCGTAGGTAAGATATTTAAATCTAGTAAAGAAAAATATACGTGTAGTACCACTGATTTTGTATATTGTTACATGTCCATGCTCCTTTTTTGGAACATTGCATTTTTATGCAATTTGCAGGAAATATTTCTTGTTATTATTTGAAGTTCTTTTTTTAACTCATTAAACTTGCCCTTTGCAAGTACGAGAGAGAAATTTTGGGGTATTTGAATATTATGGAATTTTATTTCTCTTAAATACTGTAAAAATTTTTTTAAAAAAAGCCGATTTTTAGAAATTTTTCTACGCTGAAATATTCATATCTGAAAAATAAATTTAATGTTAAAAAATCAGTCATACTGTCATAAATGATGTTTCTTTTTTAATATTAAACATGATGTTCCAAAAAAGGAACATTGGTATGTGAAAGGTTAAACCAAAGAATGTAAATGTGTTCTTTGATACCATTCAGATTGTTGTCACACAGGACTGTATTCAAGGTTTTACTATGCTGAAAATTTGGAAACTTTGCTTTTCAAAACTCTCTCTCTCTCCTTTTTTTTTTTTTTTTTTTAAATCTAAAGTAGTGGGAGAAGAATAAAAAAATCATAAAAAGAAGCATGTGACATAGGAGATCATATGATTTTGATAATACCATTAGGTACACAAACTTACATGATATCTGATGTTATCATAAAGTCAGTCTCCAACAGTTCCATTGGTTACAGATTGTGATTCAATTCATGGTCATTATGTTACATTTATAATTTCTGACGAATCTTAAAACCAGGCTACTAATTTTCCATTGCTTAAATATCCATTTCTTCTTTTAATTAATTCTGAATTAATATATTTTGTTATTTTTTGATTAATTTCTTTATATCTATTGTTAGGTAATTTCTCATATTTGATTAGCATTGTTGTACTAATTCTTTTGAGTTATGGTTTTAGTATTTCATTTGTGTTTTCTTGCTTTACTTTGATTGGTAATGCATTTCATTTAATATTCCATTCTGATTATTGATCTTATTTCACTTCATCAGATTCTGATTGCTACATTCTTTCACTGTTAAATTTGTTTGTGTTGTTATTTAAAAATCTACTGTTGCTTTGATTTTGAGATCTTCTTTGCAGTGTTATTAATGAAAATAAATTTCAAATATGTGGTGCATGGGACCTAAACCGACACGTGGATCATTTTAGAACTGGAAAATAGAGCAATAAAATCACCAGTAGTATTAATTGGTATAATTTTGTTTTACAGTTTTTTAATAATATTGTTCCTTTTGTTGCTATTATATTTATAGAGTTATCCCATCTATCAATAATACAATACAATCTATGGTCCATGAGTTCAAAAAAATTTTTTTTAATTTATCCTTTACACTATTGAGGCAGCTCAGGTATAAACTTTATAGTTTTTTTTTGTATTAATTTTTGAAATCATATATATTATTTTTTTTAATATATATTAAGTCATTTAAGCTGAAATTATAAGAATGGAAAAGAGAGAAATTACTGACGTATATACTAGATTAGACAAGTAGAAGTTATTCTTAGAGCTATATATTCATTTTTTGTACAGAATTTTAATAAAGAATGCTTTCTTAAAATTTTGTAGATACAGTGAGATAGTAATTTCAATTTTGAACAGACATTTATATCTTAGCTTCTAAAACTTTATTCTTCTTTGCTCAGACTGTAAATATCAATATTCTGAAAAATTTTTATTTAGAAAATACATAATAGAATAAACATAGTGAGCGCACTTTAAAACAACCATTCATTTTCAAACATAAAATTGTGTGTCTGCTTATACCCTCGGTTTACATTTATTTCAGTATTGCATTCATCTGAGTTTGTAATTCGCAATAAGCTTTTTTCTTGCTTGTTTTGTTCTTTCTAGCCAGTTCTCAAACATGGATATTTTAAAAGCCAGACATTTTGAAAGTTGGTGCCGAATGCTTTCATGTTATTCGTAATTCACATTTTAGTTAATACAGCATATAATATGACTTTGGAATCCTGCTCAAGATTACCAAAATATTAAAACAAAGTAATCAATGAAACATATTAAACTGCCAGCTACTGCTGCTGGTATTGATTGCACATGCACTCTTGGTCTACAATCACAGGATTGCTACTTATTAACATTTATAAAATGTTAATAAGTAGCAATATAAATGGTAATAAGTAGCAATCCTGTGATTGTAGACCAAGAGTGCATGTGCATGCAACTTTTTGCAAATTTGCTACTTTTGACAAATCTGTGCTACTAAAATTTCAGTTTATGCGATTTTGTGAGTTTTCTGACATTTCATGATTTTCTTCTGCTACTTTGCATTAATCAAAATTTAACATATCATAAAAAATATAAAGTGCCCATGGAAATTAATTTATAATCAAAAGTAAGAATTTATTTATGATTGCACATGCACTCTTGGTCTACAATCACAGGATTGCTACTTATTAACATTTATAAAATGTTAATAAGTAGCAATATAAATGTTAATAAGTAGCAATCTGTGTTGTAGACCCAAGAGTGCATGTGCAATCATAAATAAATTCTTACTTTTGATTAAATAATTCCATGGGCACTTTATATTTTTTATGATATGTTAAATTTTGATTAATGCAAAGTAGCAGAAGAAAATCATGAAATGTCAGAAAACTCACAAAATCGCATAAACTGAAATTTTAGTAGCACAGATTTGTCAAAAGTAGCAAATTTGCAAAAAGTTGCATATCTAGTAGCGTTAATTTAGGGAAAGGGAAAGTAGTGAATCTTTTAAGTTTGGATTATACAGTTGATTCATATTTTAAGGAATAAGAATTTTTTATGCTTATTTTTATTTATTTATTTAGTATAACTGGTATTCAGGTTCTGACCTCCAAATGGGGTTTTTAGATATTTTGGAAAGACATAAAATATTCTTTTGAATTGTTCCTTGGCAATCAATCATACATATCTTTAGTAAAAGTTAATGGTAAATTCGTAGATATTTTTCGTTTTAATACAGATGCCAAAACACTGTTTTTCTGATTTTCTGAGATATCTACTTTTCTTATCGAATCAGATATAACGAACCAAGCTTTCAGTCCCTTGAACTTCATTATGGTTAGGTTTGCCTGTATTACTCTAATTAAATGGAAAACAGCTTAAAAACTTTAAAAAAATAAGAAACATCATAAAATGTTGTATTCAGATTTAAAAGTAATGTGTACAATCAGTTATTAATTATGGAGTATTTTAGGAAAATTTTGTTTTTCCTTTCATAAATTTTTAATGCATTAAAGCATGATCTTTTGTCTATTTTTTTTTCTTTTTTTTCATATGTTTCAATATGTAGATGTATGGAGAAAAAATCAATACCAGTACCTCTTCTGATATTTTCTGACTGATGAAATTCTTAATTAACATTTGTTATTATTTATGTGTGATAACTCGATAAGCCAAATCCATGGTTTTAATAAAAATATATAATAAACATGTGTTACATGCATATTATATCATTTTCAATTTTCCCATACTTTCACTAATAAAACCTTTTAATTATACAAAAATTTGGAGCATTGTCATTATTAATTCAAATATTGGAACAAATATTCTAAATTTTTACTGAAAATAATGTTGCATTATTCTGTTGAAATTTTTAATTGTAAAATCTTTATTAATTAGTTTCTTTAAATTGAGATTGAAATTTATGTTTTTGTATTTTATTTTTAGGTTGGTTCTTTACTGACAAAGAAATAAATAAATTGTATCAAATTAAATGTTAAAGATTTAATTTCTTATGCTTAATTATGAAATATGCTAATGTTCAACATGTGTAATTAATCTAAATATTTATTTTGATATTTGTCATATAGGTTCCAATTAAAAATTGTCAAAATTACATATAAGGGTGTTAGAGGGGAAATAAGATATGAAACATTATTTTCAAATACATTTTCTTGTGAATTCAAAGGAATAAAAAAGGCCAATCTAAAGAATTATGTTAAAGTTTTCATAATTTTTAGGTATTAAAAAAGTGTGTTGTATGTGTTTATTTACTAACATAGTATATTTACAATATATGAAACAGCCAATTATTCATACTCTGTATCTTTTTTTTTAATTAAAGAATTGATCTTTTAATTTTTTTTTCAATGCTCAAGGAAAGCATTTTCAAATGTTTTGCAGCTGACATTATGCGAGAAATGGGTGCTGAGACTATAATTGCAATTGATGTTGGAAGCCAGGATGATATTGATATGACAAATTATGGTGATACATTGAGTGGTTGGTGGTTGTTATGGAAAAAATGGAATCCTTGGTCATCACCTGTAAAGGTTAGTTAATGAAATTGATTTTATTGTGGAGAAGTACTTATTTTATAATTTTTGTGTCAATAACACTTGTAAATTATATTTAATTTTTTCCTGTATTTAGAAAGACTTTGAAAAGTTATTAAAGGTGCATATTTACTTCTGAGTAGAAATTTGTTTAGACCTAGAAAATTTTAAAATAATAACCCAGTAAATATCATGTTTTGTATCTCATCTCCTCCTCTTTTTTCGTGTCAGGCAAGAAAGGTGGTGCATCTTTTTTTTTAATTGATTATATCTGTTAATTCTTCCCCCTCCCAAAGAAAAAAAATTTAGTCAGTAAAAATGTTTACTTGCTCTTGACATGGTTAACATATTGGTAATAACTGATATAAACAACAAAATTTTTATTGAATTATTTTTAATTATTATAGAAAATATGGTGGTTACACTATGATACCACTCAGAGTATATGTCTTGATTAATTTTTGGCGGTGCTGTAGAAAACAGTTCTTCTTATCATTCAGGCAGTGTTCGACAAATGGGGCACTGCCATTTTTGAGATGGGGTATAAGTTTTGTACTGCATAAGCCTTATCAAAAGATGTCCCATATATTGACATATCACTGCGTCTTGTTTGGAAGGATGGAACAAAACATCTGTATTTTCTGGCATATGTTTTGATTCTTCACTTTTCCCCCATGTTTTTCGTATTTTTGCAGTTCTATTAGTCCTGTTGCTACAGAAATTCAAAAATCTTTCAATCATAAGAGTAGACCTTCGCTCCTTGTAGAGAACAAAATGCACTAATTTGTGATTGCCACATCAATAAAATGCTAAAATATACAAAGCTAACAATGTTGAAAAAATAACTTACTAGCCATTGCAAAAGAATTTGTAATTTTGTTGCACAAAATACACAAAAAGCAACGTTATGACTCTTTACCAGTGGTATCACACCACGAAAATGCTGATATTCATGAAACACTGCATTTTATACTGAAATTTTCACTACATGTCAAAAGATGGCATCCAGTGCTACCTATTTGTACATGTAGTAAACCACCTATTTAATTTCAATAAAATTTTGATAGGTGACTTCAGTGTTAGTCCACCAGAAGTAAAAGGGTTAAACTATAGTGATTTCCTATATGTTTTACCTCCAATACTCGAATTCCATATCACAGATTATGTTCTTACTGCATTAATATAAATATTAACAAGACATAGTGCACAATAAAAATGAAGCTTTATTCGCTTCGCGCACACTCCCCGACAGCCGGCCTGTTTCGCTCTGCTCGCTACTCGTAAGAAACTTCTCCTCTAGGGTTGCCACACTTATCAGAGGGCGCAAGGCGCACTCCTTATCGCCATCACCACAGAGTTTCCCCCCAGTTCCTTTAATGGCTATTCAAAGGAACGACATAGGTTATGAAATTATCTCAGAGGATCCGTACTGTTGGGTATTTTTTTTCATGATTACAAAATTAAAATATAAAATTAGAAAAGATCAAAATGCAGTTCAATATATAACAAGGTAATGACACATATAATAAACATGAAATAACAAAAATATGTTACTATATGAGTTTTAAAAAAATGTTTTAAATTGTTATATAAGAAGCAAGTTTCTTAGGGAAGTGAACATGTCTTCCCGATCTGGTGACAGTTTGTGTCTTAGAGAGTTCGTTTGCAGATTTATTCTGCTGAACTGTCTTTAAGTCTTTATTTGTTTTCAGTTCAGACAAATCATACCAAATCAGAGTCCGAAAGTAAATAGGCTGGTTTCACACATCTATAGACACAGTAGATTTCAGACCCTTAATATCAATTGTGAAAGTTTTGTTCATTCTAGAAAGGACTTTATGCGGACCTGTATATGGTTGGCAGAGAGGTGGCTTTACTAGATCGACACGTAAGTATATGTGCGTACAAGACTTTAAGGTAGCACTTACGTAACACTTTTCTTGGCAATGTGCAGATGTTGCTATTGGATTCGATTGTTGCATTCTATGCAGAAGATTCATTATAAATTGAGTGTCGTACGGAGATATCTTAGATGACGTTATCATATCACTAAGCAGCTTGAGAGTTGTGCCGTACACCAACACCAGTTCAGCACAAGATGATTGTAGATCCCTCCTTTACAGCTGTCCGAATACCAAGCATAACAACTGGTAGTGTTTCAGTCCAGTTATTGGTCTCGTGAGCCTTGAGAGAAGATTTTAAATGTCGATGAAATAGTTCAACATTGTCGTTGGACATTGGATGATAGGCTGTTGTTGTGATTCTGTTCATACCCAAAATGCGCATAAATTCTGCAAAAAGTGTGGCTCTCATTTGAGAACCTTGGTCTGTTGTAATGATCGATGGGCAGCAGCCAAAACGAGATATCCAACAGTTGAAGATGGCTCTGCAAATGGTTTCCGTTTTCATATCTGGGATGGGAATGGCTTCAGGCCATCTGGAGAATCTATCTATTAGAGTCAAAAGGTACACGTTGCCTTCTGATGGAGGTAACGGTCCGACGATATCCATATGGATTTCTGAAAAACGTGCATCAGGAAGAGAGAATGTGCCCAGTGGTGCTTTAGTATGCCTAGTAATTTTCGATTTTTGGCAAGATTCACAGGATTTCACCCAATTTTTGATATGACGTTTCATATCGGGTCATACATAACGAGAACAAATAAGCTTTGTAGTAGCTGCAATTCGTGGATGTGACAGATTGTGCAGATGATTCAAGATGAGTCTGTGAAAGGAATTCGGAACAAATGGATGAGGAATGTCTGTTGACATGTCACAAAGAATATTACCATCAGAATACTGGCACGGTTTAAATTCCAGTTTCAAAGATGATGTGTTGTTTTTGAGAAAGTCTTGTACCTCCGGATCATGCCGTTGAGCTTCCGAAAATTTTTTAAAATCCAAAAATGCAGATTTTGTTATGGAATCAATTTAAATTCTTGAAAGAGCATCAGCAACGACGTTTTTTGAACCTTGTACATGCCTAATATCAGTAGAGTACTGAGAAATAAAATCTAAATGGCGCAATTGTCGAGGTGAACATTTATGAGGGTTCTGTTTAAAAGCGTATATTAACGGTTTTTGATCCGTATAAATTATGAAATTTTTGCCCTCTAACATGTGTCGGAATTTCTTAATTGCAGAATAAATTGAAAATAATTCCCTATTGTACGCGGACCATTTCTGTTGACTTTTATTGAGTTTCATAGAGAAATGCTATAGGTTCCCATGTTTGTTGAGACAACTGCATAAGTGTGCCGCCTATTGCAACGTCTGAGGCATCTACCCAGATGCTTAGCTGGGCTCCAGGAATAGGGTGTCTCAAAAGAGTAGCCTGAGCAATGGCATTTTTGGCAGCAATAAAGGCTTGTTCAGCATTCTCGTTCCAATTTAATTGTGGGGATGAATCCTGAACACAAGAACGAGATTTCTTTTTATTAATATAGCCTTCTAACAATTTTATTAAAAGAGAAAGAATATGTGCTGCTTTAGGTATGAAACATCTGTAAAAGTTAAACATGCCTAAAAATCGGCGAAGCTGAGTGAGAGTGGTAGGTTGAGGAAAATCTAAAATACATTTGACTTTGTCAGGAAGAGGTTCAATTCCGTTTTCACTAAGGTGAAAACCTAAGAAATCAATAGACATTTGAGCAAAGGTGCATTTTGAAACATTTATGCAAAGTCCATATTCCTGAAGTTTGGAAAATAAAGCTTTCAAATGCCTGCAATGTTCCTCAGAATCTTTAGAGGCTATGAGCAAGTCATCGACAAAAGCGTAAACACCTTCTAAATCCTGCATGACTTCATCTATAAAACGTTGATAAGTCGCGGATGCATTGCATAAGCCGAATTGCATACGGGTACTTTCGAATAAACCGAATGGTGTGCATATGGCGGTTTTGTGGATGTCGGCTGGGTTAATTGGTATTTGATGGTATGCCTTAATCAGGTCAACATGACTGAAAATTTTAGTACCGTGCAATGCAGCAGTAAAATTGGCTAAGCATGGAATAGGGTATTTGGCTTTTATTGTTTGAGCGTTCAATGCTCGATAATCTCCTACAGGTCTCCATTCCAGACTTCCCTTTTTTGGAACCATGTGAAGTGGGGATGCATAATTGCTGCTCGAAGGTCTCAAATGCCCCAATTGCATCATAGTTTGAAATTCTTGTTTTGCTATTTTTAAGCGATCTGGAGCTAACCGACGAGGTTTTGCAACCACAGGTGGACCTTTAATTATAATATAATGAACGGTGTTGTGTTTAACAGGTTGGTTAGGATCTGGTAATCTAGTAATTGAAGGAAATTCTTTTAAAATTTTGTGATATGGTGTATCACTAAATACAGTTTTTACTGAATAAATGCTTGCATTTTTCACGCAACCGACGGTTTTAAAATGTGTTTTTAAATCTTTGAGACATTTGTTTCTGAGATCAGGCACCAATTCAAAGAAATGGAGAAAATCTGCTCCAAGAATGGGTGTACTAACATTTGCTATAAGAAAAATCCATATAAACTGTCGTCTTAATTTGAAATCCAAAGAAAGTGTTTTTTGACCATAAACATGAATAGTGGAAGAATTAGCAGCTAAAAGTGTTTGTTGGAGAGAATTCTGTTTTTGAGAATTATTTGCTGGAAGTAAGGACACGTCAGAGCCGGTATCGGCCAAGAATGAAAGGTTTGTTCTACGGTCACGAACGAACAGGCGACGTGAAACTTGAGGCAAAGAATAAGTCGCCTCTATTCTTTGCTGGTTTCGTTTCCCTGCCATGAACAAGGTTTTGTACATTTGTCTTCTCTACACTTTTTCCCAAAACGTCTATGATACCAGCAAACAGAATAATCTCTCCTTTTCGAATTGCTTCTTTCTTTATTGCGATCTCCGCGATTTGGCGAGTGACCACGAGAAAGAGAAATGCGATCAATACGTTTGTTTAATTTTTCTATTTGTTTAAATAATTTATCCTCAAAAGACTGATCGACTGTGCGAGAAACGGCACAAGTCCCTGGGGTTGGATTTACTTCTAAAATTCTGTCGGCAATTTCTGAAGCTTTATCTACAGTTAAATTGGAAACCGCTGCCAAAATAGACTGAACAGTGGAAGGCAAACATTGAAGGAATAATTCTAACATTAAGTTATCAGGAACATTTAAAGATTCTGCTCGACGTTTCATATTTCTAAGCAAATTGGAAGGTTTTCGAGAACCTAATTCTTCTCCAGATAATAATTGGCGAATTTCTTGCTGAGAAGATTCTCCTGAATGATTTATTAACTCAGTTTTAAGCTTTGTATATGGATCAATAGGGTCTGGTTTCATAAGTGAATCCCTCACTAGTGATGCAATATCTGGAGGAAGATGAGCAACTACATAATTATATTTAGTAATGGATTCTGTGATAGGTTTGGGGGTGGCAAGAGCAAAGGTACTTTCACACATAATAAACCATAAAGATGGGTCTGATCGGTTATAAACCGGAATTTGGACGGCATGAACATCAGACATTGTGCAAGGTTTTTAAGCCAAAATAAAAGCAAAAATTTAACTAAAGAAAATGAAATTAAATGATAAGTAGAAAACAGAATTATAAAATGATCTATAATTACTACTCATCTGTGATTCGGAGGATGAAAACCGATGTAATGTATTACTTCTGGTTTGGAGATCCTGAGTGATGGCTTGTAGTTAAAACCGAATGTGCTTGAGAACTGTTCATACGATTTAACACAGTCTGGGTTACCATTATAGTGATTTCCTATATGTTTTACCACTAATCCTCGAATTCCATATCACAGATTATGTTCTTACTGCATTAATATAAATATTAACAAGACATAGTGCACAATAAAAATTAAGCTTTATTTCGGAACTTCGTGCACACTCCCCGACAGCCGGCCTGTTTCGCTCTGCTCGCTACTCGTAAGAAACTTTTCCTGTAGGGTTGCCACACTTATCGGAGGGTGCAAGGCGCGCTCCTTAATGCCATCACCACAAAACCATAAAGACTGAAAATTAATCTCAGCTGAAATGCGGAGACTAAAATCTGGAGGAATTTAAAATTTATGCAATGACAAATTTATTGCTTATTTCGAGGAAAATGAAATTCAAGAATGAGGAATACAGGATTCCTTTAATTTGATAATTCTTTTATTGTTTTTGAGTCTTGTATAGGAAGATACCTGAATTATTTAATTGTAGATTGAGTTAATCTGGATTTTAGTCTCAATAATTTATTTGTACTTTTTAATATGAAAATATACTTTACTTTTAGAAGAAGCAAATCTTGTCTTTTATACTTTTAAACAACTTGCACAGTTGGATTTAGTTCAATAATTTATTGAATTTTTGATTCTGTTTTTTAAAATTTAGTCACTATTGTTTTTGTGAAGTCATCATTTTATTTTAGATTATTTATTTAAAATTGATTTTTTATGTGCTATTTGATGCTTCAGTAGACTTTAAATTCATGGGGAAAATTGTAATTAGTTCCATATTTCAGAAATATTAAATGCGTATGAACAAATGAAAGCTGTTTGATAACATTTATAAGAAAGGTTTAGATTTCAAAAAGTCTTTTAAGAAAATAGACCTTTGCGAAAGCTTTGAAAAACTACCAAAATGTTGGCAGAAAGTCATAGATTTGGGTGTTGATTACTACGTGCATTGAAGGTTTTGCTTTAATATTTTTTTCTAACTTTATTAAGAACATTTTTTGACAGAAAACTTTTGTTACAACCAGGTAAATACGATGTAAAGGCCAAGATTGGAACTGTGCAAGTCTGGATTTTGGATTTTCCAGATTTTAGATGTTTAAATCTAGTAAGATACACGAAGAAATTCTAAAATTAAAAATATGAAGTACTTGTTCACGATTTTAAAAGAATCAAAATTTGCACACACACACACACACACACACACACACACACACAAAAAAAAAAAAAAAAAAACGCTCAATATTTATTTGTTTGCTTTATTAAACCTTTCTTTCAGTGCCATTTGTTTGACTTGTTTTTTATGCTAATACTTTAATTTTACAGATAGACATAATTTCTTGTTCAGTTCCAGCTCCATTAAATTCTTGTTCAGTTCCAAGTTAAGTCTTGTAACTGCCAGTTTGAAATTTTCCATTAAATTGTGAATTGAAATTCTTTCATCATCAACTACCTGTCTGTCATTTTCTTCCTGTTGGTAGTGATATTTTGGGGGGATTTAGAACCAAACTGCAGATTTCATCATCTGTTAGTTGACCGATTATTGGGGCATTGTCATCACAATGGGAAACTTTGGTTATATCATCTTCATTTATAACCATTTCTTTACAAATTCCCAGTAATTGAAAAATTCACTTTTAGTTTATGATATTCCAAAACCTTCAAATTCATGGCTATCATCATAAAGCTTAGCTAGCATCCACTATTCACTATTGGCAATTAAAGATGTGTTGTTCTGCCAAATTTTGTTTTTCTTCTGTTGTGCACTGAGGAAATTAAGCTTGAATTATGTTAGTTATTTATTATACTTAATCTATTTTCTGCATTTGCTTAAGGCTTGTCCAAGTCTAAAATTAATAAATTCCCACATATACTTAAGGCTTGTGTAAACAACAAATCATTTATTTTTTCTTAATTCAAACAGAACTAAAATGTAATCATGTAATCTTTTGGCCTGCGAATATCATTTACAAGGCTTATGGAAAGAAATTTTTGTTAAATTTTTCTTTGTCAATTCACTCAACACTTACAACACATTTGGTTGAAGTCTGTAATATAAGTCACTGAGACTAATGTCAACATAAAAGGTTACCATGCTGTTTGGTATTTAATTGTAAATATTTGAAAAATATGTAAATATGTTTTAGACACCACTGTGTGAGTCATTTCTCAAGCTACTATGAGTCATGGTGATGAAAACGAAAATGGTAAAAATTTATTTGCCAGATTGACGTCGGAGATGAGTTATTCAGTAGATGTAAAATTAGTGATGAATTTGAGTATAGTATGTATCGAGCAAAAAGGTGGCTATAGAGCCAAATTATTATCATGCAGATTTATGTGAATAAATAATTGCATTTCTTCAACATGGAGGTGTTTTATTTAATGCTGATGTGAAATTAAGAATCAGGTCCCTCCATATGCATTATTATGGAAAAATGTCTACTATACATGCATGAAGCATTAAGCATGTTATAAAGCAACATGCTACTCTCTGAACCTATTTCTTTTTCCTAATATGCAAAAAAATTCTTTTTGAAAGAACTTTCTGAGGGTCAGGAAGTTTGGTTATGAGATCACAAATATTGAACATACAGATTTCAGATTTTGTACTGTATTACTTTTTCAGATTTTGTACTGTATTACTGAATGACAGGAAGCCAATTAAATTTCCTTCTTGATTTCAACTAATAATTAAATTTAGGTAGGTTCTGTTTTGTAGGTAATAATTCTTTAGGTAGGTTAATTTAGTAGGTTCTGTACTTGATTTTTATTTATTTTATCCTGGATTAAATTTTTGCAAAATTCTTTTTTTTTTTATGCTCCTAAATCATTTACATTTCCTCTTTCTCTTGTTTAATTTGTTAAATGTTTTTCAATTTGGATTTTATTTATCTTCTTTGAAGTTACTGTTAATTTTTTCCAAATAATATTAAATTAAAAATTTAACATTCATTTTATAAAATAATATAATATTTCATTGAGAAATTATACAAACTTCAAGGTTAGCACCCAGATTAATGTACGAAATGTAAATTATTTATCACACACATAATTGAATGCTTTCCTTAATTTCTTTCAATATTATGAATCAGATCTCTAATATGTATTTTATTTTATTTATTTATTTACTTACTTATTTATTTTAGTATCTTTGCATCAAAAAATCTTTATAACATTTTTTTTTTTTTTTTTTTTTAGGTTCCAAGTCTTCAAGAGATTCAATCTCGATTAGCATACGTCAGCTGTGTAAAGCAATTGGACCAAATCAAACGGAGTGATTATTGCACATATATAAGACCACCTATTGATAAATACAAGACGTTACAGTTTGGAAGTTTTGATGAAATTATGGTTTGTATTTCATTAATTTTTTTACATTATTATTTAACCATTCAAATGGTTATGACTTTATTTTATTTTATATTATTACCATTCAAATGGTTAATTACCATTCAAATGGTTATGACTTTATTTTATATTATTACCATTCAAATGGTTATGACTTTATTTTATTTTATATTATTACCATTCAAATGGTTAAATAATACCATCCAGTTTTGTAATCATTCAAATGTTGTAGTTAGGTTACATTTATAAAATTTTTTACAGTATTTTATTTTAATATTTTTTTCTATAGACTTCAGAATTGTTAGATGATTTGTTAATTTAAAAAAAATATTCTTATACAAGTTTTCCATAAATTATTTCAGAACTTCGAAAATTGTTTGAAAGTTCATTTTTAATATATTTTATTTTTTATTCATACAATAATAGTTTGGTTGAATCAGATTTGGTGCAATAAGTAATTAGTAATGTGTCAGTGTCATTGTAAAAAAAAAAAGTTACACAGTAATCATGCCATGAAACTGTGCAGTTTTACTACAAGAAGTAAAAATTGTTTTTAGTGTAAAGAGAAAACAAAAGAAAATAATAAAAAGCATGATGCATTTAATAAATGTGCCAAATAAAGTGTGCTGTGAGCTAAAACTTTTGAGTACCATTCTGTAGAATATATGCAAAGTAGTAACACCTTATTAAACATAAGATGTTCTTATATTATTATCAACCCTGATTTATGTAAAAAAGAGGTGTTTTTTAAGTCAGTATTGTAGAGGTCCCCAACTGTATGTCAGCAAGCAGCACTGCACCTGGCAGTAGTTTATATGTGTTTACTGCTTTGGGACCATGATAAAAAAAAATATGTACGTTTTCAGTAAAATGTTACATGCAATTTTTTTACAGTTAGTAATTAATTAGAGAAATGTAAGCATATTTTTTTAAACGATTTGTTTATAATTATATATATTTATGATTTTAAATGTGTTTGCGAGATATCTTGGTTTGAAGGTGTGATCCTAGCTATTTTGTCATTTTGTCCCAGTTATCTGTTAGAAATTAAAATGTATCAAATATACTCACATTAAAATATTTTTAATGCCTCCCTGTACTACTGCTCTCTATGCAGCTCTTCATGTATGGTGCCATATGCAGGCTGTAATTATTTGTTCTGCATTGTGATGCAATTTGCGAAGGGGAATCCCCATTTAATGAGCATTCCCAGAATTACCCGTTATACTTATGGCTAGTTATATGCTCAAATGTTTAGGACACATGTTTCCTACTTTATTGTCGGTGTCTTCTACTTCATATAATAATACTGTGCTAAATTTGTGACATTTATTCATACATTCATATTAAATTAATTTTGATCCCAAAATGAATTACTCAAAGACAAAGAATCTATAATTTTAATACTGACTTTGAAGAATCTTATTGTTTCTGCTCTGTAGCAGTAGCATTGCAGTGCTGAAAAAACATAATGTTGAATATCACTTTCAGCAACCCATGTGACTTTTAATGTGACCTATTTACTTAAATCTGAAGTTAAGAATGAAGAAAGTAAAATCAAATCTATTTGCCCAGCAATCAGTTTTCATTAAGCCTGTGGTAAAATGTAAAAATGTTCACTATTGCTTCTTGTAAAATTTCTCACATGCTCACAAAAAAGAAAGAGGCTCCCCATGGTGGTAAAATGTTAAAAGAAGTATTTTTAATGGTGCTGATTGCTAATTTGAGGAATTTTCTAATAAGCATGAGATTATGTCAACAATACAAGATATGAAGCTTCCAGGTAATACCATCACATGAAGAATACATGCCACTTTGATACAGGTATGCAAACTCAGTTGAAGTATGACTTGGAAAACTTTACTATTAAAGAAGGTGTACTGAAAATATTACCCATGAAAGGATGAACGAGAAGGGAAGATACCTATAACATATTTACTGCATATGTAAAGTCAACAGATATCCCTCCTCACAAGCTGTTGGTGATAACCGATGAGACACCAGCAATTGTTGGTAATGTTAATGGATTTATTGCCCTTTGTAATAAATATAAATCATTTCTGAACGCTTATGTCACATAAGTGTATCATCCATCAGGAAACTTGGTGTAGAAGATTGCCTCTCAGCAATGTCATGAAAATTGGAAAAACAGTAAAATTCATCCAAACATTCTTTTTGCACTATCCCCTTTTCAAGCCATCGTAGAAAATCCTGAAGATCCTGATCTCATTCTCTGTATCGAAGTGCATTGTCTTAATAAAAGCCAATCTAATTCAGAAGTCAAACAACAAAAATCAGCGTTATATTTACAAAACTTTCGCAGGACTAGTTTCGATGGTTTTACCGAACCACCATCCTCAGCTGCAAAACCGCATGAAGCAGTAGTCGGTGAAATGCAATGCCAAATATCATATTGACTTTAAGAATTACCTTGTTTATAAAGAATTCTTAATTTTTATATCTCAAGTTATATTTTTGGAATATTTTTATGTGCATTATAAACTATAAAATTACCTCCAAAAAAAATGTTCCTGTTGTCCCACTGGTATTCTAGAATGCCCTCTTGGGTAGAAAAAGTTTGACGATCTATGGAGTATTGTGTTAGCATTTATTATACGAAAAAAATGATTAACAGTAATTGTATTAAAGTATTAAATTATAATTTTTTAAATACTTTTCTAAATGTGTACTTTATTTATTTATTTTTTCCAATAGGAAGTTGGATATAACCATGGCAAAACATTATTCCCTACTATGAAAATGGGACACAGATCATTGCACAATTTGCTTCATAATGAAATAAATAAACCCTATCAGCAGGTAATTCATTTTATTTTCCTAGGATTTCAAAATGTGCTGCTATTTAAACTCTTGTATTAAAATATACTTTTCCTGTTCCTCTGAGAAGTAATTTCCTGAAGAAGCCTGTGATAATAATTACCTGAGTGGCCTCGTATTGTTTAAAATGTTTTGTTATTCTTTCAGAAACTTCTGTTCCCCTTCCAGTTGCACTTGATAAAAAGCCATTTACCAGTTATTAGATTTCATGCTTTTAAAATATGTTTAATTGTAAATTTACATTAGGAAACTTCAGTTTCCATCAGTCTTGACACTGTTATCATGTCAGAGAAAAAATAGATGAATAATAGAAACTCCCAGCACCATATTTGAGCAGTTTATAAAAAAATACATTTTTAGCATGTTTCATCATATAGTGTCAAAGATTAGGATTGAAAATTGGTCACATTCTAACTCATTAACCTGTTTATTCCAGACATTAAAAAAGGAATATAAGTCAATCCAAAACTATCTTCAACTACAATATACTATCAGGATGCTTGTTCAGGGTGCTTTAAATGTCAGCTCTATTTAAAATAAAATGGGGTACTGCCTGTTTTTATTTCTTAGCTGAAATTTATATAGTATAAAAAAAGCAGTACATAGTCCTATGGAACAAGATAGTTCTTTATTATTTCAGATACTGTATATCATATTCTCATGTGTATAAGCCGCACTCTTAGCTTTTATGTCTAATGCATATTATAAAAAAATGGGTATTGGGGCGATGAATACCTGTCTGCCATTTACAATATATTTTTTTAATTGGAGGTGTGTAAGCAGCTAAAATGAAAGCAGCACTTACCATATACTGAGTCAAAATTTCTATTATTGCTAAAAGGAAACACGTTTTTGTGTTCAGTATCTCTTCAGTAGTTGGATGATTAGTAGTATCACTATTGCTGGTACTTGTATTTCACACCATGTTACCATAACCTGCAACCACAACTAAACTTTGTGTAGTCCTATGCAATGTTCACTAAACAACAGTGGATTTTATGATCAGTCATTAAATATGCCCTGTTATGTTACAAATACTGCTGGTTGCCATTTGTTTGTTACCTAACATTTGCTTGAATAAGCTGCACCCAGTTTTCATCTGCTTTTTGCAGGAAAATTTGCAGCTGATACATGAGAGGATATGGTGAGTACACAATTAAAGCTATACAGTATCTAGATGTGTAACTAAACTTTTGAATGGTTGAGTTGGATACAGGTATGTTAAATGCCTATATGTTTTCAATAGTGTTTTGATAAAGTGTCAGAATTTATTAGATTTCTGTTTGACATTGCTCTTTTTAAATAATTATGTTTAATTATAAATGGACATTTGAGAGTTCAAGCAGAAACAAGTGAAAAATATAAGCTATGAAGAATTTAATATGCATATAATATGCATATTATAAAAATTATTTTATGTCAGTATTATTACACACAAATTATTTTATGTCAATGTCTTTTTAGATATTATTGTGATCATTTACTAAACATGTATGGTTTAAGCACCCGAGGTATCGATATATAATAATTTATTTTCTGGACTTCTTTTGAAGTAAATGAAATGTAAGAGAAGCATACAAACTTTAAAGTAAGCCATGTTGATCTCTTAATAAATAATGTGGTTCATTAAAGGAAAGACTGTTGTAAGGTTACTTTGTGATTGTTGTCTAGTTATTTTAAATCACTACAGCACTACTAATCTAAAGTTGAAATTTTCATATTTCTTTTGAGGGGGATGTTTTTTTCCTTTCTTATTGTAATGCCATTAAATTACAATGTGGATTTTAATGGATTTTAAAACAAGCTGAGTTTCAAACAGGTTGGAAAAGAAAAAGGGGGAAGTATAATAAAATATCATGTGTTAAAATTTAAAAATTTTAGAGTCGATAAATCATATAGACAAGCATTAATTTTGCTTTTGTTTACCTTCACAAAGAAAACCCTTTTCATAAGAAGTTTTAATTGTATTTTTTCGTTCCAGTAGGTTTTAAAATTTATCATATTTTAGTATTTTAAATAGTTACATACATAAAATGATTGAAGCTTATTGATATAAAACTTATAATAAATAAAGACTAAGAGTCTTGTGAAATGTAGAAAATTTTGCTTGCACTTAAGTAAATAGGTTGATAATTTGTAATATAAGAATTTCACAATCAATTTAAAACTTCCAGTATCTATCAAATGCTAAGTGTATAAACAAACTTACCATGGTGTGATAAATTCATATTAATTCCATTATGTGTCAGTAGTATTGGGAAAAAAATTATCAATCTAAATTTTGCTTCATTAACTAGCAGTGCCTATAAAATTAGAACATCAGATAGAACTGTTTAGGCCATCAGATATTAAAAAAGTTACATTCAAATTAATGTTTTAATCTTTTAAATTTATTTGTCTTATAAGTGCATTTTGTTTAATTTGAATTAATATATAAATGTTAGACAAACGTTTTAGACTGCAATCTATTTTCTTCTGTGACATAGAATTCTCCACTGTAAAAATTTTGCATTGCCCTTTGCATATATGAGAAGACGCATATCATTCTCCTTCAGTGATAATTTTAGTAGATTATGTAGTTTTTGCATGTATTGATTTAGTGTCTTTTTTATGGATTGTAGAAAGGAACCCTTAGAAATGCTTCATTCACTGATTTAGCAGAAATGGTGTGCCAAATTAAGAGGCCGCACAAGTATAAAGTATACGAAGGTATGATTATATCAGTACTTTTTTATATGTGTTAATTTATTTATTTGATAATTAACCCTTTGATGGTTATGAACGAGTTCAGCTCGCAATCGAATCGTGCTTCATAATGCGGGCAAACAAGTTCCGCTCGGGAGCAAGATTTTGACCGAAATGGTTAGTAACGAGCACTACTCGCATAGTGAAATTTTTCCCCAATGCGCACTGACAGCTGACTTCGTTCGCCATTATTATTCTGCATGACTGATGTTTCAAAGAATTATTAAACGAATTTAGTTAGTTTTACTGTCTACAGATGTCTACAGATGTATAATGTTAAAAGTCATAAAATTTTGGCGTGATAATTTAAAATGTGTAAAAATGGGCTCAAAAGCGAAATAAGGTAATTAAAGTATATATAAAAATATTTATAAAGCTGATAGACTGTTTAAAGTACTTTATAGAGCATTTTTAAACAATGTGTTGATACTTCGGAAATTTCATGGATTTAGGCTTAGTAGCAAAAAAGCCCCCGGCCCTGGAGAGACGCTCGCGGAAGACACTGCCGGCCTCCGTGATAAGCGCACGTTTTCGCTACCCGGCTCGAAGGGGTTAAGAGCAAAGAACGTTCCAGAACTCATCATTGGAGTGAAACTAATTCAAATGAATTGAGAGTATTTTTTGCAATATTAATTTTGCAAGGAATAATTATGAAACCAACTGTGAGAATGTATTGGTAAAAAAAAAAGTTAATTGAAACTCCTAGTTTTTCTAACATCATGAGTTCGAGAAGTTTGATCTTATTATGCAATTTATTCATTTTGATAGGAATGAAAGCACTGATTCTTCTCATCCTCAGCCAAAACTAAAAAAAAAATATGGACCGTTTTAAATTACTTACAGAAAAAATTTTCGGAAGTTTATACACCCGAACAAGACATATGTATTGATGAAAGTCTATTGCTGTATAAAGGGAGACTTTCTTCGACCCAATACTTACCTCTTAAAAGGAGATTTGGTATCAAGTGTTTATGTGAATCTATAGTGGATATGTGTGGTCTATTATAATTTATGTTGATAAAGGCACAGAATATATCTGAAAAAAATAAAAGAATGTTTGTTTTCTAATCAGGTAGTTTTTCACATTGTCTAAGCCGCTATTAAACAAAGAATACTGCCTTACTATGGATAATTACTACAACTCTACCGAGTTAGGGGAAATGCTATTGAAATCTAAAACTGATTTTTTTGGAACATTAAGACCTAACAGGAAAAGATCTACCAAAGGAACTGAGAAAAAAAAGCTTAAAAATAGAGACTTACTTGCCTATCAAAGAGGTAAGATGATGATCATGCGATGGAGAAGACAAAAAATATGTTCAATTTTATAAGCTCAATTCATAATCCTGAAATCGTAAAAGTTCCAAATAAATTGAAAAATGTGGAAATAGAGAAGCCTAATATTGCTTTAGATTATAATAATACGATGGGCAGTGTAGATCGCATTGGATCAGCAAATTGGATACTATGATGTAACTATCACGTAACTCGACAAAGGAACTTGTCACAAGGAAATATTTCGCTATTTATTGAACATAACAATTTTTAATGCTTTTCAAGCTGTGGAAAAAAAAAGGGGGAATAGAAAATCAAATTTGGAAATTCAGAATTGAACTAGCTGAAAGAATTGTTGAAAAATATCACACTCATAGACATTTGAAATTAAAACCTGCTGAAACAGTTTCGAATACTTTAAGATTGTCAGCACGCCACTTTCCTGATTATATTCCACCTACAGAAAAAAAGAAAGAACCTACTAGATGATGTGTGGTATGTTGCAGCAAAAATGATGCTAATGGAAAAAGAATTCGCCGTGAAACACGTACGTATTGCAAAGACTGTAATGCCCCATTATGTGCAATTCCATGTTTTAAAGTATATCACACACAAAAAGATTTTTAGGTAATTACTGTATTTATACTGTGCTTCATAAAGTTTTACATTAGTTGTATTTATTTAGTCCTTTCAATTTAATATTTGTCTTATATTTATAATTAACTATTATTATTTATATAATTGGTTATAATCATTTATAATTAACTATTATTATTTATATTTGGTTATATCATTTATAATTAACTATTATTATTTATATAATTGGTTATAATCATTTATATTTATTTTAATAATTATTTAAAAGTACGTAAAAACTGTTATTTATGTACTACAAATACTTTAAGAAATTTTTAAAACACGCGAGGCGAGCTATCTACGGCATCGCCAGAGAAAGGTGACATTTTCGGAAGAACGGCGGGGGAAAACAGCTGCCACTTTCGACTACTGTTTATTCCTAATGCTGCACGAATTAAGTAAATGGAAACTGCTCATTTCCATAACCGTCAAAGGGTTAATATCCTGTTGAGTATGTGTTACAAATAGGTTAATAATTCAGAAATAGTTTTTGAATAAGTTAGGATCATTTATATACAAATATAAAATTAAATATTAAAAATTCTTCGATTTACTTTTTGATGTAGTATCAGATGAAGAAGAGGATTTATATGATCGAGATGTTGGTGGATATACATCAGAACCTGATCCTAGTCTTTTGGGAGATACAGATAAGGTAAATTGATAAATAAATTTTCATTTGTAATTATGAATTGAATTTGTAAATGGTTATTAAATACCTTTCTCTCGGATCATGATTTTCTTTTGAGTATTTCCATGTAACTACATCACATTGTCATTAATACTATTTAATTGATACCTCGCTGCATTTATTTGCTAAAACCAAAAGCAAAATATATAAATGCAGAATTTGTAAGTCATGATTATGTTAATACATTTGAGTTGTAAGTAATAATTTATAACTTTGCTTGGTGAGATAATATTAATGACAGAAAGTCCATTGAAAAGAACTTTTCATTCTCCCATTAAAAATAAAAAAAATAATAAAATAAAAAAAGGTGAGCATGTAATAAATATATTTTTGTGTGTAAACAAAGTAGTTCAAGTTTTTATGATTGAAAGAAATTGAATACTCTTTAATAATCATTATTAAATATTGTGCTTTAATAATCATAGCAGTATATTTTTTTTAAAGTTAACTCTAGGGAGATTTTTGGAGTACTAATGAGGTAACAAGATGGAAGTCAATTTTTGCATTTGAAATTTGAATCTGGCATAATGTGCTGACATCTACCTGACATTTATGGTAATAAGTTATCACCTTCATTGTTAACAACAGACAGCCAATAATTACAGAGAGGGGTTTCATTATTGATAGAGTGAATATGAGAATAGTGTTATTAATCTAATGAAATTTAGTTTGCATATTGCTTTGGTATGCAAATAAACAAATATTTTCCATCATTCCACTGTTCCAGCATCCCATCTGAAGGCCTTTTGTAGGACAGTTTCCCATCCAGCAGCATTAAAAAATATCTGTTTAAGCCACTGTTAAGGAGTTCTCATTAATATGAGATTATATTTACATTAATATTATAATTAGCAAGTAGATACAGTCAAAAGTCGTTAATCCGGACTCGTCAGGACTTCGGCGATTCCGGATTATCGATTTTTCCGGATTATAGATCATCAGTTTAGATCTCGTAAGTTGGCATGCAGAAATTCTAAAATTAAAAATATGAAACTGTAATTTATGAAATAAAGAACAATTATGATCTAAAGGGTATCGAAATTTAAAAAAAAAAAAAAAAAAGCTTAATATTTATTTGTTTACTTTATTAAACATTTCTCTCAATGTAAATTGTTTAAGTTGCTTCATTTTATGTGATAGTACTTTCTCTTTAATTCTATAAAAAGACATAATTTCTTGTTCAGTTACAAAGTTCCGCTGTTCAAGTCTCGTTAATTGCTGTGCCGAGAATACCGACTAACTTGTCAATCGAAATTTTTTCGTTTTCACTAACCTCTCTGTCACATTCTTCATGTCTTTATCCATTTTTTGCAGTAATTCCACTTTTTGTTTGTTGGACCACTCGAAACATACTTTTCGTTTTGTAGATCCTTTGGAAGTTCCAGCATCGGAAATTCTATTTGACATAATCGAAAGTTCAAGTTTACTTTTATAAAATTGCTCTTACAGTCTGCAAAAAATAATAAGCGGGATCCAAGTCGAAGATTAAGGAACAACGCAATCATTAACATTAACTGAAATAGATAATTAGATAATTTTAGCTTACGCCGTCCGTTATACATTAAACGCGCAGGCGAAAACGTATTCTGCACTTGCGCACACGCATATGCGCAGTAGTCAAGGTCTTACGCGCATGCGTAAAACGCCTGTGCGCATCTGCCAATGCGGCACATGTGCAGAAAGTTTGTAGCTTTGAGGTCCGGATTATAGATCATTCCAGATTATGGGTGTCCGAATTAACGACTTTTGACTGTATTCATTGTTTTTCAAGTAGCTGGTTAAGTGCTGAATTTTTTTAAATTTTCTATAGTATACACAGGTTGGGATTAAGCAACTATCTCCAATGAAAATTTCTCAAAATATATAGGAAAATAGTCTCAATACTGCTGGCTTTCTAAATTAAAAAAAATTAAACTTTTTTATATGTTTCCTTTAGAGCAAAAAGTCCAATTTTTAAAAATATTTCTGCTTTATTAAATTAAATGCAAAATATCTGACACCTGTATATGGAAATTCATGAGAATATTTGCTATTAATAATTTGTGGGGTTGGCTACATAATTAATAAAAGGTGCTGTTTTAACTATATGATGTAATCACCAAAACAAACTAATTTTATTTTATATTTTTTTCTAAATTTAATGAAAGTCTGACCAGAATTTCCTAGCAATAAGTATTGAAAAGTTATTTAAATCAGTAAATTTGTTCTTTAATATTTTTATGAGTTTTCCATATACAAAACATTTGGTGTTTAACATATTAAAGCATGATGCAAATTTTACTAATTGGACTTTTTGCATTATGTTGACTGTATTAAAATTTAAATTGTGTTTTTAACAAATCTTTCTATTTCTAGTGCTGAAAATTTTCTGTAAAGCTTTTGTTCTTATTTTGAGAAGATCTGTAATTGGAGCGCATGTCTAAAATCAGTATTAAAGGAAATAAAGATTTGCTCTTTTTTTTTTTAATTTTTATTAAGTATAGTCATGTAGTGTTAATTTTTACTTCCTTGTATAAAGTAAAAAAAGTATTGTAATCACGAAAATTTTCAACTATCAAGTTTCCATGGAAATATTCATTCTGACCATTCCTGAATACATTAACACTACTTTTTTAGTGATGTCTATACATATGGGCATATTCACACTTGTCATCAAAGGACTCTTTATTTCAAAATGCATTTAAAATGGGTTTTTTTATGACATCTGTAGATACATACATATGTATACTGGTCATCAAAATTAGGGGATTATGACATAAATAAAACATAACTGATACTTAAAATTATTCATAGAAATTTGTACAAAATTATTAGAGTATTAGTTAATGTAAATTACAATATTTGATAGTTGATTATTTCCAAAATATTAGAATTAAAGATTAAAATTTGAAAATGATGAAAAAATTTAGTCACCTCTTGTGGGGAAAAAAATTCTTTAATATGGTGTATGGTCACCTTGGACAGATATGCATACCTCACATCTTGATTTCCTAGGCTTTACCAAAATGCTAATCAAATCTTGTTGAATTGCACCCAATTTTCTAAAAGTGCACTTTTCAACTCCTGGAGGATCTGAGAGGAATTTGACAGGCTGAAATTTGGCCCCTTAAGACATTCCTTACATGCTAAAACGGGTTCAAGTCGGATGAGTAAGGTGACCAGTTCATTCAAATGATATCTTCTGTTTGCAAGTATTCTATGTTCGATGATGATGAGCATTGTCATTCATAAGCAAAATCTCTGGGCCAACAGCACCCCTAAACAGCCTAACTAGGGTTCCAATACCTTGTTCCACATATCTTTGAGCTGTGATAGAATCTCCTTGAAAAAATGCAGTTTGGTGCTTGACAGCCATTTGTCAGAATTCCTTTCCAAACCATTAAATTGCAGTCATGGAAACAGGATGTTTCATTGACAAAGAAAGGCAAGTTTTGTGTTCTTCCTCTCTTCAGATCAAAATACATCTAGAATTACTATTCAGACTGTATCTAGGCTTGTTTATAAGCAAAACTCGGGCCCATTCGTTTTGGCTGCATTGAACCTGACAACGGCAGCAGTTTAAACGGGCCCCTCTGAGTGAGTGAGACACAAACCATTGGTTTCCTCACATAGAGGCCAACATTCTCACATCGAGCTCCTGTGGCAGCCTGAAGGTCTAAACCAAATATCTTGTAGTTGCTTCATGGTTTCTTCGAGCCAACAATGACAGAAACTGCCTTCTGATGTAGTTATTGCTCTTGATCACCCTTGAGCAGGCTGCCTATCAACTGGTCCATTGCTTAAAAAGTGGCTAAAATCTCTTGCTATGACACTGAGGGGTATTCTGATTTTGGGCTACCTGCATTTATGTTTGATGCCCCTCAATTCTGCCAATTAATCACCACTTTTGACCTTCACTTAACTGATGCCTTTTTGAGCCATAACGACTGAATACTAATCACTCTCAGAAATCACATTCACTATAAACAACACAACAGACCAGAATTCCAGCCTGCATCCATTGTGCACATCACTGTCAGTCACCAAATTTGCATATTCCCAGTGCTAATGTATGCGTAGAAATGCAATTTTGTGTTCAATTGTATTTAACTAACATAAATAATTACAGCATTGAGCATTGATTGCAACATTAAGATAGTGAGTATGTTTTTTTCTCATTATACATTAATGAGGTAATTATTTAATGAGTTAATAATTAATTTAAAGAATTAATGAGTTAATAATTAAAGGATAATGAGTTTTCTCATTATCCTTTAAATCTATTATCCAGTATATCTTGCATAACCTGAAAATGATTTGCCATACAACGTTAAAATTTTGTATATGGGACTGTTGTAACATTTAATTGTGCATCTCCCTTTTTTATTGCCATTGGCAGTCCCAAACGTATATATATATATATATATATATATATATATATATACAGTGCTTGACATTAAAAATGCAACACCAAGAAGGAGTGGTCAGAAAGTGAGGGAATTCAGAAAAAAGACAGAGACAGCAAGCAGCAATAAGTGATCTTTATTTCAAAATGATAGTCGAAATACAGAGCGAGAATGGCGTCACCTGAGAAGGATGTAGGACCACCGTGGACAGCTATGCATGAAGAAGCACATCTAGGCATAGAGTCGATAAGAGTGGGGATGGTGTCCTGAGGGACAGCTCTCTATTCCCTTTCAACCATTTGCCACAGTTCGTCTTCTGAACGAGGCAGGGGCAGTGTCTGCAAATGGCGTCTAATCACATCCCACACATGTTCGATTGGTGACAGGTCAGGAGAGACCAGTAGCCAGGGAAGTATCTGTATACCTTGCAGAGCATGTTGGCAGATGCGAGCACTGTGTGGTCGGGTGTTATCCTGCTGAAAAATTGCATTAGGCAGCCACTGAAGGTAGGGGATTCCCACCGGCTGCAGTACATTATCCAAGTATCGTTGCGCCGTCATAGTGCCTTGAATACGAACTAGAGGTGACCTGGCAATAGCGCCGCAAACCATTATGCCACATTGTCACGCGGTGGGGCGTTCCACAGCTACTGCTGGGTTAGATCTGTCTCCACATTGAAGCCACACACATATGCGTTGACTGTCCCTGGATAAACAGAAGCGTGACTCATCTGAGAACACGATGTTTTGCCATTCTGTCATCCACATCGCTTCAGTCTGGCACCATTCTAAACATTGGCGTCTATGCTGTAGGGTCAATGGCAATCTTCTTAACGGATGCCGTGAGTGCAGGCCACGTTCAACCAATCGACGGGAAATTGTTCTGGTTAACATGGGAACATCCAGGGTATCTTGCACATGCTGCAGAATCATGGTACAAGTGACATGCGGGACCGCCACAGCTTGTCGGCGAATGCGTCAATTTACGCGTGCTGGCGTCACTTTGGCTGCACCTGCACCCCTCCTTCTTCCCACATTTTCTTGTTTCAACCATGTTCGCCATAGCCGATGCATCGTGCTCACATCCATGTGGGTATCAGCTATGATTTGACATAATCGCCCTTCTCAGTCCGATCACCATACCCCTCGTAAAATCATCTATCTGCTGGAAGTGCCTTCATTGACTGCAGCCTGGCATTCTTCCTATTACATGTATTCTCCAGGGCAGAAACCAACTTTCTTCAATAATTCGTCTGGCAGAAATAACAACACAAACATTGCCCATTGTGCATGTTCCTTCCTTTATATCTTACTTCACGTGCATCGGAGAGCTGCGCATTTCACATCATTCCCATAACTCAGTGACGTGCATGTACTCTAAAATTTGCATAAATTTCGGACCATTCCTTCTTGGTGTTGCATTTTCAATGTCGAGCAGCGTATGTATGTGTGTGTGTATAGCCATCTCCTTACTTGGCTATTATTTTTGTAGACTTTAACTGACTAAAATACTCATGTTTGGGCTAATTGAAATTTTAATCTTAACAAATAATGAAATATAACTTTTAATGTGGTCTCCTAGTTCCTATACTCATTATTGAAAAATAAAAATTCAAGAAGTTTTACTTCCTTATGACAGAAATTGCCTGAGCACTTTTTGATGTCATTCTCAACTTGCCTTGTGAAATCAGTTATCTAATTTAGAATTTGAAGAAATAAGTTTAAATGAAGTTCATCATTTATTACACATTTTCAAAGTGTATAATTTAATAGGCTTTTTAAGGAAGTCTTGGTGCTAACATCAGACTATTTTCATACGTCAAATAAAACAAGCTGTGACTTACATTATGTGCATGAGTGAAAGGTAGAAAACAAGTAACTGATTTCTTATTTTAAGTGTTTTCAATGAGTAAATAAATTATGAGTTGAAAGATTGCAAAAGGATAATGATCAAACACTACCTGTTTTGCTTGCAGTTAATGTTGAAATTTAAAAAATTTCCTTTTTATGATAGATTGTAATAAAAGTGAGTATAATATTACGTTACTATTTATTCTGTTATCGAGTTGCGTGTCAAATTCAGAATCTTTTTATACATCTCTATGTATTTTTGAATAAATTGATACAATATTGTAGCTGATTATTTTCGTCATATATAGTTATATTGATTTAATATGATTCCGTTAATCTATGTATGAAGGAGATAATTTCTAATTAATATTTGATAATGGATTAATTTTTCACATGCTGTTGTAATTTTAATATATAACAACATCATTTTTTTTTTTTTTTTTTTTTTTTAACTTTAAAGGAAGATGATGCTGAAGAAGATTTTACTTCCTCGCAACATGATAATGTAGGGTCATTATCTGATGTTGAATATTCAACAGAGAGGGATTTATGATTTGAACTCTATTATAGATAATTTATTAATTTATGCTTGTTTCATATATTGTAAATATTTGAATTTTTAGATATGTTTTTGAGATATATATATATGTATTTATCTGTGTAAGTATTCTGATTGTACAGTTAAAAAAGGTATTATGTATTAATTCAAATGCAGCCCAAAAATAAATCTCTTGTATATGATATCAGAAAGAATATATATTTATTTCCATTTATTTTTTTGTCAATAAAGCTTTGTAAAAAAAATTGAAGTTTTTGTGAAATGATGTATTTTAATTGTATATAAAACGTATGGCATTTGATTTTTTTCTTAGATAGTTTTTTTAATTATTATTTCCAGATATAATGTTTTTTTTTTTTTAACTTTCTGGATGTGAATATGTGTCATTTGTCATATTTCTTAAGTATCCTAAACTATTTTATTTTTGTATGTGCATATATATCTATATCCGTTCTTATAATATTATGAAATTTTTAGTAAGATTTCCCATCCTTTATGTTCATGATGCTGAATTTTAGAGTATTAACATATAGGCATTAGAGAGAAGAGTCGTATATGCTATACAGATGGTTCATCTGATGAGACAATTACTAATGGAGGTTCTGACTACTCCAGATACTACTTATCAACACAAAATTGGCACTAGAGCCATAGTCTCTTAACTCCACTTGTGAGCATCTGGCAATAAAGAAGGCCTATATAGAGATCCCTTCCCATTTCTGAGCAAGCAAAAGGAATCCTTGTCTTCTGTGATGGCTCAAAGGCTGGAAGCTCCCTGTTCACCAACAAGATTGATTCACTTTCACGAAAATAGGCTTAAAAAGTTAGATAAAGTCTGCATTCAGTGGTTGCTAGCGTATGTCAACATCACAGGTAACAAAAAGACAGATAAAGTGGCAAAAGATGCTCAAAATTTCATCAATAATAATAACATAAATGTCACTCTCTTGGTCGGAAATGCCGTGGCCAAATATGGATTGAAGGGTCTTTCAATTCCAATAAAGTATCAACTTCATAACATCAATGGAGATCAACTTATAACCCAAAAAACCTTTGCCAGACTTAGAACTAGCATCATGGAGGATTGAAAATTGACAGATAGGGTAGGAAGATCTACAGGAACTGTGGTAACTGCCAAGACACAGAATTGACAACTGACTTAATTATTGGGCTATCTGTGTGAATTCTTAAAAATTGGGGTCTTGTTTAAGAGACTGAACCTCTCTGGCATTACAGAGGCATTGAAAATTGACAGATAGGGTAGGAAAATATACAGGAACATGGTAACTGCTCAGACAGAGACCTGACAACTGACTTTATTGTTGTGTCATCCTCACTGAATTCTTAAAAGTCGGGGTCTTGTTTAAGAGACTGAACCTCTATGATGATAATATTTTGCAGATTGCCAGGGTTGTCATCTTCGCCCATGGGACTATGTGAGTAAACGTTATCATAGATATGATAACAGCAGCAACTTTAGAGAGAAGAGCGTTTATTTTCTCTAATATGTGTATTCAATTCTCTAAAATCTGCGAGAAGCATGCCAATGTGTTCTAATTTAGGCTATGCATTAATATTTAATATTGTTAATTTTTTCTTTAAAATGCACTTTATAAGAATTAATTAGGTAAAAAATATGATGAATCACAAAGGGAAATAAATAACTTTAAACGTTTATTTATTTAAAATATTAATTAATGTAGTTCTTTAATGTAATATCAATTAAAATATTTTCTTATAACTTTTACGATATTTGTAGTAATATTTAACTAATTGGAGGTTTATTGAGCTTCAAAATATGATTACTGACTGCATCTAGTACTCACCAAAGTATGAGATCTATTGTACGAGTTTGACAAACTCACCGATGTGCCTATTATTATGTGGGCTGTCTCGTATGACTCGTGACCATCTTAACATTTTTCTAATCTTTAATTACTTTGAAGGCTATAATTCTGCAGAGGATGTTACTTTTTATTTGTTTCAAGACTGAAGTCTCCTGTACAAAGATTTATGGCTGAAAAGGTGGTATGAAAGGGGTGGAAGAGTAGGTGGTTGACTTTATGAGAACCATTGAGTAATGTTTATTTGCTTTTCTGCAGTGTTTTTTCACTCTGTCTTATCATCTACAGTACAAAGTCTTTAATCGTCCGGACGTCCATAATCCGGACTTCAAAGCTACAAACTTTCTGCGCATGCGTAAACGCAAAATCCATTAATGCACGCGCATAATACGTTTACGCATGCATGTTTAATGTATAACGAACGGTATAAGCTAGGCTGAAATTATCTATCTATTTCAGTTAATGTTGCAGATTGTGTTGTTCCTTAATCTTATAATTGGATCCGGCTTATTATTTTTTGCAGACTGTTAAAGCAATTTTATAAAAAGTAAGCTTGAACTTTCAATTATGTCAAAAAGAGTTTCCGATTCTGGAGCTGCCAAAGGATCTACAAAGTGAAAGCATGTTTCGATGTTCATCAAGCAAAAAGTGGAATTGCTGCAAAAAATGGATAAAGGCATGAAGAAAGTGACAGAGAGGTTAGTGAAAATGAAAAAAATTCGATTGACAAATTAGTCGGTATTCTCGACACAGCAATTACGGGACTTGAACAGCAGAACTTTGTAACTGAACAAGAAATTATGTCTGTTCATAGAATTAAAGAGAAAGTATTAGCACATAAAATGAAGCAACTTAAACAACTTACATTGAAAGAAATGTTTAATAAAGTAAACAAATAAATATTAAGCTTTTTTTTTTTTTTTTTTGTAAATTTTGATACCCTTTAGATCATAATTTCTCTTTATTTCATAAATTACAGTTTCATATTTTTAATTTTATTATTTCTGCATGCCATCTTACCAGATTTAAATTGATTATCTATAATCTCTATAATCCGAAAAACACCTAATCCGGAATCGCTGAAGTCCCGACGAGTCCGGATTAAAAACTTACTACTACTGTATATAGTTTTTTAATTAATATTCTCTGCTAGTGGCACGTACGTGATTATTTTTTGCGTGTAGTAGTTAGATTGCTGAAATGTATAGCACTTTTACGCAGTAATGAAATTTTGGTAAGCTTATTTGTAAACCTATCAATTAAAAGGCTGTTGATCATTCAGCTTTGTATTCAATCGTTTAATCTTAGTTATCAGTAATTCACTTTTAGTTCATAATGAAATGATGTATAAATAATGCATCCTTCAATCTTTTGAGTGGTGTCATGAAAGATAATTTGGTACTACCTGAAGCTATGGCTATATGAGCTTCTATAGTTGGAAAAAGCTGGTCATTAACCCTTTCGCCATCCTCTCCTGTCTGCGAAAATTTCTCTCCAGCAGCTCTCTGTTTTTTGCAGTGTGTAGTGTTGCTTTCTCTGTACATCATAATTTTCCATACATAACTTTCATAGTGGATGAATGTAAACGAATATTAAGTAAAATTATAAGGAAATAAAGCATAATGGAAAAGTAATAATATCTCTTCTTATTTCTAACAGCAGGATAATATGATAACATCTGATCCAGACGGTTCACTCCCATTTTGTTGTTGTAATCTTTTACAATTATTGATTCTTTTACAGTTCTTTTCTGTGTTTCAACATCAATCATCGAGTTATTATGAACTGTACTCATCAAGCGTATATCCTTCTTGTCTTTCCAATTCACAACCTGATTTTTTCTCTTTTTTTGCTGAGTAGACGTTGAAGCCATCTCTCACTGTCTTGTATCTTATTTAAAATGGCGTGAATATTCATAAAAAGTGGAGAAAATTCAATTAGAAATAGAATGCCTCGTTAGTGCAGCTCTCTAGGAGGTATTGGAACAAACAAAAATAAAAACTCAAACAAGTAAACATTTAGAAAACCTTTAAAAGTTTTAAAATGTAGAAGAAAGCTTGAAGCGCATTACGGCCGCCCTGCAGAAGTTTCACTTGAACGCGCTAGATGCATTACAGACGACGAAGAGGTTAAAGCTGAAGGTCATGACTAAAGTTTGGGCCATAACATGTACTGTATTCCTCACGACAAGTTATTGGTAATCATTTCAGATTGACCGCATCTTAGGAAGCAGAAGAATTGTTTAGCCATGCATGGAATTAATGTATGTGTATATATTACACTGTGTCTATAAAAATCCTTACCAGACTTTTTTTAACAACCTTTTATAATAGACATACACTCATCAGTTAAGAAACATCGGTTATAAAAATGTTTTAAATAATACAAAAATTCATATTTGTTCATTTTTAGGTTTAAAGAGAAGTTTGTGAAAATTATGAAACATAACTTTTTATACATTCCTCTAGTACATATAGTTATATTAAGAAAAATTTTATGTTCACCATAAAAAAGTAAAACATAAAAGATTTGACTCGCGACAAAAGTTGACCAAGAGTTTTTAATTTAAAAATCTGATATTTTTATGCATCATATTCAATTTGCATTAAGGAGATGGTTAATAAATAAATTAGAATAAATCAAGGTAGTTTTTTTCCCTCCATTAATTGCCATTTAGTAGTATTGTTTTGTAATGTATTAGTGTCTTTATAATTTTATTACATTTAGCATGATGAAAGAATTTTCACACAAATAAGTTATAAATTCACGAAGTCTAAAAATGAATTATTAATATTCTGGTAAAACTCTCGTCTTTAGAAATATTAGAACATTTTAGAATTATAATCTGTCTGGGAATTGTCAACATTATGTCTACAAAAATTTCATTAAAGGATAAATATATTTCATTTTCAATTAATGCAAATAATATAAGGAGTTGACTGTGTGCCAATACTGAAGTCTGCCAGTGTTTTCCAGAAAACAACTTCTATAACTTTTGTGAATAAGATCTGGATTTTGGAAAACATCATGTTGATCAATATTTTTCACAATAATTTGTGTAGAAATATTCGTCATGTAATCTCTTAACATCAGAATCTTTTCTAAACTATATTTTATTTTTAGTTATGGGCAAGTGCAAACGTTTCGGTCTTCAGTTTGTGTATGGCCCCTAAATATGGTTCTCGAATTTAATTTCAAAGATCTTGGTGAAATTTTGTTGTACAGGTCTACTTTTTCTGTTTTATTTTTTATGAGTATAAAATTTTCCTTAAATGTAAGTATTGGGACTTGAGCAACATATCAAAAATTAAATTTTGTATTTCTTATAAAATTATTTTTTAAATTTAAAAATATGAAAACGTGAATCTTTGCATCATTTAAAAAATAGTTGTATTTGCAAGTATAT